TACAGAGAACAAATTTCAAATGTGTTTTGCTTTGCTTTTATCACTTTGAAATCCCTCACTTGTCTGAACACTACAACAGTGGTAACAGCACGTAATTCCAACAACAGACTAATAAAACCTTATTTTAAAATCTTCAGGTAAAACAAACACTGTCCCTCTTTATCATTAAGTAAACGAGGATAAAATAACTGCTACAGTTACAGTTCAAATACCTTTGAAAAGTTTCAAAACAGCAACAAGAGATAGTGGGAACAAGATATGGTTTTTATGACAAAGCAAAACTGTTCTTTCCACAACACTGTAACATCTGCTTTGAGGACAAATATTAACCTGGGATGGGCTGAACAGCTATATTTCAAAACATGTGCCTAAATTTAAAAATTCTTCACTGACAATCTACAAAGGCTATCTGTTTAATCTCCCCAAAGAGCCACCTGATGCATATAACACATCTAATTTTGGACAGCTAAAAGGTGTGTTCCATACCATCCCACTGAGTAATTAACAAAAAGCATGCAACCCCCAACAACTTCGGGAGCACACCCGGATTTTTTAAATCATCTATTTGAATCTCAGAACTCGACTTCCCAGCAAACAAAGGTCTATGTGGCAGGAGTCCAAACCAGTCCACAAAAGCTAAAACACCCGTAAGGTTACTGAAGTATAATAAAATACCAAACCTGCACGGGCAACATTTCTCTGGGAAAACTCACTTTGCAATTAACTTTACAATAAAAGCAACTACTCCTGCTCCACTCAGCCCTCCAGTAGCAACGAATTCTTCACCCTGGCCCGCTGCAGGACCACAGGCCCAGGCTCCCATGATCAAGGCAGAGCAGGAGAAAAGGCAAGGAACACGGTAGTTGGCAGTGCATGAGGCTTCCGAGTTAGGGCTAAAAGGCAGAGCTGTGGTGGGAGGACGTCCTGGGATAAGGCAGGCAGGATCTACTTGGGAGAGCAGGATGAAGGGTGGGGCAAGAGAAGTGTGAGGGTCAGGGTGGGCTACAGCAGAGGACAACAGGGAAGGGCCCACTTCTGGAGCAGATGAGCTTTTACAAACTTTCCTTCTTAATGCTTAAGAGAGGGAAGGAAAAGAAAAAGACAAACAGTGGCAAAGATCTTGACAGTGCCCCTCTCACTCTGGCTACTCTCATTCCTCTTTTCAATAAAGAATGGAAGGGGTTAAGCAGCGCCTGAGTGGCTCAGTGGGTTGGGCGACCGACTTCAGCTCAGGTCATGATCTCACGTTTGTGGGTTCGAGCCCCACCGTCAGGTTCTGTACTGACAACTAGGAGTCTGGAGCCTGCTTTGGATTCTGTGTCTCCCTCTCTCTCTGCCCCTCCCCAACTTGTGCTCTCTCTCAAAAATAAACAAACATTGGGGCGCCTGGGTGGCCCAGTCGGTTAAGCGTCCAACTTCGGCTCAGGTCATGATCTCTTGGTTTGTGGGTTCGAGCCCTGCGTCGGGCTCTGTGCTGACAGCTCAGAGCCTGGAGCCTGCTTCAGATTCTGTGTCTCCCTCTCTCTCTGACCCTCCTGTTTCATGCTCTCTCTCTCAGAAGTAAAACATTAAAAAAATTAAAAAAAAAAAAAAAAAAAAAGAACGGAGTGGGTTCAGTAAGGGGTCTTGTCCAGGTCCTTCTTGATCCCGTAGAGCACAGGGATTAGGAGAAGGAAAATGGACCTATAGGAGTTTTGTTTTCCTCCTTGTCAGCATCCACTCTGCCGATGACTTCGGTGTTGATCAGAACTAAGGGAACCTAAGTAAGGGCTCTGGGTACCTGCAGAAACAGCCAGTAGTAAAAAGGGAGGAAGGAACCTAAGGAAATTTGACACAGGAAGTGGGATAGTGCAGGGTCAGACAAACAAGTTAACTGAATTGCCAATGAATTAAACTATAATAACCATTCTCAAATATTTAGGATTAATAATTTTGAGAGTTTCCAGTATTTCATTAGGTCCATTTCACTTTTACACAAACAAGTATTTGTGGCCATGGTAATAAATTGAGGCTTATTATGTGGAAGATAAGAAAATATACTTCTAAATACATAGGAGGTAATTTCCTGGTGCTTTTTCTTTATACAGTGGCAATATAAATCATTTCAGAAAAGGCTTTTTTGTTTACTGAATGAGCACTCAGTTACAGTATCATCTGTCAAGTTTTTCACCCCAATAGCCCAAACATCATGAGTAATTACCTTCACAAATAAGGAAGGATAATTAACTCTTTCTTGGGAGTATAACTGTAATGAAAAAGTTGCTCATTCAGCCCAAACACCGCTTGTCAGGACTGGAAGCTATTATTTGCAAGCAAAGCTCCAAACTCATACACACAGATGCATCCAGAGCCCAGGACTTCAGGCTGTACCTCCAGCCTCTAACGCCCACATTTCCACGAGATGGGGCTACATAACCGAAGGTCCCCCAAACAAGTTACTTCTTAAACGATGACACAGTAAATCCCAAATTCCAGAGTAACATTTCCACAACTCCCAACCAGGGGTAATTAATTCAAGAGGCAAACCTGAGCAAGTGACCTGCTGGAGGGCGAGCGCCAGGCACTCAGCTTCCTTTTTTCTCCCCCTATTATTTTAGCTGCTTCTCTTCCAGGTGCGCTCTCTCCTGAGAGGAGATGAGGGCCAGGAGGCAAGCTCAGCAGCACGTCAAAGAGGCAAGAGCAGAGACCATTAGGGGACAAAAAGGACCATCCGCCAGGCACTGGCAAGATGTTCCTGCTGTTTCACTGACAGGTCAGATACTGCTTGGGAACCTGCAAGATTTTTCACTCCCTAGCCCCACAGCAGATTATACTGGATCCCAGAATAGCTGCCACATTTTCTGCAAATGACAAAGTGGATCCAAAACCTCTGTACTAAATTAAAGAGAAGAAAAACAGTGTCTGTTATCAAATACTCCACTTGTTGGAGAAGGTAGGTGGGTGGGTGTGTGTATGTATACCTCCAAGCTATGATAAAGCAAATTCAAACCCCTAGAAATACTTGGTATTTTATTTTAGTAATGTAATTTGAAAAACTATTCAGGACCAGAAGAAACAAAATATTTAAGCTCTGAAGTATCCTGGGCACGCTGAAACTGGAGACAAAGTTACAGAAAACATCTGAATTTCACATAGGTCACTAATCAGCAGACTTCTGTTAAAATGTTACCTCTGGCTGCAAAATGAACGTGTCTGAAAAGAAGGAAAAAACAACAATAACAACAACAAAACACTTGAGATTATCTCCAACCAAGAACACTGAAATCTTTCAAGATAACCAACAGAACTGAAAGGTTTCTTTGTAACAAAAATTTCCATTTTCATGAAATTTTTATCAGTTAGCACACACACTTATGCAGAATATAGTAGAAAAAGCACATATTCTAAAATCAGACACACATGAATCTGGGTTCTAGCTCTGCAGTTTGCCAGCTATAAAACCTCCTTGGGAAAACTCCTGAAGAATACTACAGGTTACTGTGGTTATCTGTACAACAGGAAGAACATTACCTGCACAGGGGAGCAATGAGAATTAAGTGCAAACATACATAAGCCACCAAACCCAGTGTTTGAATAGACTCAATACTAGCCAGCTTCCTCAGCTCCAACACAAACTGCACAGAATATGCCAATGAAAAACATCTATGTAACTGAGAAGACTGTGTCAAATCAACATGTGAATTCAGAGTGACAGAACATAATTATGTTCTGTTCAATGTAAAGATGAAAGTCATATATTTATCTTCATTGAAGTCTTTCCTTTGATTGAGCTGAGCCAGTCCTAAGCAAACAGGGCTAGGGGGCTAAAGCTGAAAAACTTCGTACCAAGTTGCTCTAAAATATGTACGTGTATTTGCTTGCATTCTTGACATCACACAAAATTTACCGTGAATGATGATGCCTTTTATCATACTGTTAAATGCTAAGTTCTCATCTAAAAACCCTTTTCTTGATCGACAGGTTTCTTTCTTCTTACAAACGTTCTGATTGCAAAACATTTGCAAAGCAGAGAAAAAAATAAATTCCTTTATTCTTGTAAAATGCAAAAGTGAGAAAAAGAAACTAAGTTTGTCAAATTGATCTTCTTTCTCATTCATTCTTGTTCTTTCACAAACCAGAACTAAATACATCACATGCTAAAATTATTGTCGGATTGACAAACATCACTGAAGAACACAGGGAATTGACAAGCCCTGTCTGGATCAAAGGTGACAAATGTTCTTAAGCAATTTAAATAAATTACGTTTCAGTAAAGACAAAAATGCTTTTTATCAACACCATGAACTTTTGACTTTATACGCAGCCTACTTGATAACCCACCTTTATCCCTCATCCCATCCCCCCAAATCCTGTTTTTTGTGCCCTTTTAATGAGCTGGCACACAGGACTAAACTACACAACTCCAACTGGGAATAACTAATCTGTTGTCGGACCTCAGAGGAATGCTTGTGCGATCTTTGTCTAAAACAAAACACAAAAAACAAAAAACAAAAACGGAAACCAGGTTTTGGCCTTACTCCACACCTGCCACTAATTTGCAAACCCCGTTTAGAACAATTACTACTATTACCAACCTTCCCCCACAGCTCTCCATACCCTCAAGAGACCCAACCTTGATGCTGACTAGTCCTCATCCCCAAACGCCTTGCTGGGGGCTTGAAGCCCGTCCACTGAGGTTCACTCTCCGCAACGTCCAGGGTGCGGCGAGGAAGGACACCATCCCCTCTGTTTGGGGGGTGAAGGCCAAGCAAGGCCCCCGGCCACTCCCTCTTTCCTCGGCCTCCCAGGGCGTCTGGGGCGGGCGCGCCAGGCCCTGCGCAGACCTCCAATAGCCCCGCAATTCCCGGTGTCCGCCTCAACCCCAGGCCGAGCCGAGCCCCCGGGACGCCCGCATTTGCGCGCACACCTAGCGCCCGGGAGCTGGGTCTGCGAGACGACCCCAGGGCCACCCCAGACGCCCCGGCTCGGGCAGGTGCCGGGCCCTTCTCGAGGACACTCACCCGGCAGCCGCTGCTCCCTGTCTGCTGCCGCCGCTGCCTCGCCTTCTCGCCCGCCGCCTGCTCCCGCGGGGGGGTCCGGGCTGGCGCCGCTTCCCCGCCCGACCCCCCTCGGGTGCGCGCTGCGCGGGGCCCGGTCTGGTGAGAGCCGCCGCCGCTGCCACCGCCGCCGCCGCCCCCTTTCCTTTCCTCCCTCCTCCCTCAGTGCGTCCCTCCCACCGAGGCCCGCCTCGTATTTCCTGGATCCGGTCTCAGCTAGAGCTTGGCAAGCGAACCGCGGGCTTCAGGACTCTCGTCGGGTGCCGTCGCTCGCCAGGCACAAAGATGGCGCCGCCGGGGACTGCCGAAGGCGATCTCGCGAGACTTCTCCCACAGCGCCTGGAGAGCGGGGGCCCACAGGAAAGGTGGTCAATTAGGGCAGCCTCAGCTGCCCTCAGAGCAAACACTCCTCCGAAGCGAAAATGGGCGGTACCAGTTACGGCGGAAGTTATTGCGGCTGCGCGGAACGGGGAGTAACGCATGCTCAGAACGGCTCCTGAAGTAAGACCCAGTTCTCCGTGTTTTACCTGTTTCCTTCCAGAGGCAAGGGGGCGGAGAAAGGGTGGGCGGAGGAACCAGAAATGAAACCCGGGAAAGGGTTGGGCAGGGCTGACTGGGAAAGTGGGAGGTGTCCCTTAACGCTTGGTCCTCCCTCTTAGCTTGAATGGCCAATTTGGCTTCTTCAGGAGTCCCAGCCCTTTCCTTCTCCCGGGTCTCGCAGTCACCGCGCGTTCTTTGTAGAGTCTCAGCTGCCCTTTCATCCTGTTGTCCGATTCCCGTTTTTTCATTAGGAACTCGCTGTGTGCTAGGAGCTGGGTTCGCTGCTGGAAGCCACAGCCCTCCGACTTCTCACATTACCCAAGAACTTTCTCTTTCATTTTGGCGCTACGTGAGCCTTCCAAATGGCATACAATTACCTTCTTCCGTTCCTGTTTTATTTTTCTTCGCTCGTTCATTTATTCGTTGATTCAAACGTATGTTGTTCAGAGTTTCCTATGTGCTAGGGACTGAAGACACGGAGATGTGCTCTGACCTCAGGGAGCTATTGGCCTGGGATGGCGACGGATGAGTAAAAAACCAGTGATGACAGTTGAGCACAGTGGATGCTCTAACAAAAATAGGTACCGAGAGAAGTGACAGGTACTGGGAGCAGGGTATCATGAAATATATCAAAAGGGAAAATTCTTGGGGCGCCTGGGTGGCTCAGTCGCTTGAGCGTCCGACTTCAGCTCAGGTCATGAGCTCACGGTTTGTGAGTTCGGCCCGCGTCGGGCTCTGTGCTGACAGCTCAGAGCCTGGAGCCTGCTTTGGATTCTGTGTCTCCCTCTCTCTCTGACCCTCCCCTGCTCACGCTGTCTCTCTCTCTCTCTCTCTCTCAGAAATAAATAAAAAACATTAAAAAATTCAAAAGGGAAAATTCTTGAGGGAGTCTTATAGGCATAGGATTTAGTCCATTGAATCAGGGTAATGTCATGGAACAAGCCACCCATTTTTTAAACAGAATTTAATATAAAAAGGTGACAATTAGATAACTGAAAATGCAAGAAGAGAACTCAGTATACAACGGAGGGAGCAGCAACCGTGCTACAACGGCATAGCAGCCGCTCTGCCCAAAGCTAGGGGGACCAAGGGGAGATACTGGGGTTATCACAATTTCCGTATTTAGAGGAGGGGCTGTGTGGAGCTGAAATTCAGACCTCTGAGGAGGGAAGAGCACCTACTGGCGCTAGTGTCTCTGATGGGGGCTCAAGATGCTGTGTCTGCCCGGGTGGGGACCCGACTACTGCTATGGGAAGGAACTGCCACTGGCCTGAGTTCCAGTCTCTCTCTGACCTGGGTATGAGGAAGACACTAGAGTGGATCTGGGCTTGACCCACATCCAGCAGCAGAGCAGCTCTCCTGTTGAGAGTCATCTTAGAAGCTGGATGTGGCCAAAAAGGGAGCCTTTTCACTCTTGTCACCCACCCCACATAGCGGGCACCCTCGTGTTAAAACATTGATGGGAAACTTGCTTTGAGTTCAGGGTTTTATCCCAAACAAAGCTGCCCCGGCCAGCCCACTCACAAAGCCACGAGTGAGAAATAACTGTGCATTGTCGTAAGCTTTTGCTTCTTACGTGGCAAAGGCGGACTAATAACAGCAGCTCTGTTCCACAGAGTGAGCTGGAGATTCTTTTCTTTTTCTGTCTTCTTGCTCCACCATCCCTAGAGTGCTGACCTAGCACCACATCACATTCCAGTCATCAGGAAGGGGAAGATCTACCCATGTCCTTTAAGGGGACAGCCCAGAAGTTGTTAACATCATTTATGTTCACAGACTGTCAGCCAGAACTTATTCACATTAATGTATTTACCTGCAAGGGAGACTGAGAAATGTGTTCTTATTTTTAAGCAGTCTCATACCTAAGCTAAAAATTCCGTGACTCTAGAAAAAAGGTTAGTGAGTTGCTGTGAGCGGGGTGGGGAGAGGGGGTTAGGGGTGGTGGTGGGGAACCAGCAGCCCGATAAAATAATCAAATCTCAGAACCTGATTTAAAGTTATGTCTTGTCCTCTCTCCCAGTTGGGTTCTGCCGCCGGTGAGGGGCTTAGAATCGAAGAAGCGAGTATAATCCTCTTTCTGTTCCTTAGGTTTCTACTTCTCCTTTCCCATTTTTATTTTTTTAAAAATTTTTTAATGTTTATTTAATTTTGAGAGACAGACAGATAGACCGTGAGCAGGGGAAGGGCAGAGAGAGAGGGAGACACAGAATCTGAAGCAAGCTCCAGGCTCTGAGCTGTCAGCACAGAGCCCGATGCTGGGCTCTAATCCACAAACTGCGAGATCATGACCTGTGCCAAAGTCGGCCGATTAACCAACTGAGCCACCCAGGCGCCCCTGCTCCCCATTTTTCTAACCAGGAGTTTCTCCTCCTCCAAGGATGAAGATGGAGGGAATGGAGAGAATTTCCTGCTTTACAGGTTACAGTCATAAGACTGTTTTGTCCTCTCTGGACATGGCAGGTGCCTAAATTGGCTCTTTATCTCTTAATTGCTTTTGGAGGTTCTTCTTAGGCTCCCATTGGGAAGATTGGATAGTACATCCTAGGGCACATATGATGCTCTCCCCCCGTCAGGCCTCTCTCTCCTCAATATCTGGTCTCTTATTTTTGATGTTGCTACAAGTCCTCTCTTGGTTGTCCATATATCTTCAATGTGACTGGCATCCAAATGCTGGCTCTCTTACGAGGTGAGTGCGATTCTCCCGCACCCTCCTCATGGTATAGTTCTTTGATAGAAACTGCCCTTATGGAATACCCCATAGGAAACACGCATATCCTCGCCCTGCTAAGTAACAGACACGGGGCTCTGTCATTGCTGCCCCCATAAGCTTCCTGTTTTCAGAAGTCTTCTGGGACAAAGCAGGCGGCAGTGTCTGTGCTGACCCTGGTCTCTAAACTGCAAGGATATGTGGCCAGCTCTCCCGAACACTCTTGGTCTCTCCCCTAAATTTCTCAAATAGCTATAGTTCAACCAAGCAGCTGGGGTGTGACACATCTTTAAGGCACTCCTAACTCCGCTCTCAGAGGCCCCCTCGCTTAGGCTTTGCCTGCTCCAGTGGAAGAGAAAATCGACAATACTTTCTGAGAGATGAGAACTATGACAATCTCCCTTCTAGTCTTCTCTCCCTTCAGCTGGAGGAAATGTTCGGGTTATGGTTCTAGACCCAGGTTTGCTGCCTCTTGGTGAGCCTCTAGGGAAGGATCTAAAGCTCTCGTTAGAATGTGATAGAACGTAGCATGTATTTTCTGCAGCTGTGTCAGATACAACTGTGCACCATTTCAGATAGTTTTGGCCTCATTTGTGTTGATAATCCATTGGCACATAACAAACCATTCCAAAACATAATAGTCTAAACTAATAACCATTTTGTTTGCACATTATACAGTAGGTCAGCAATTTAAGGATTCATCCTTTTTTTTTTTTTTTTTGGTAATCTCTACGCCCTCCATGGGGCTTGAACTTACAACTCCAAGATCAGCAGTCACACACTCTACCAACCGAGCCAGCCAGGCGCCCCAGTAGTCAGCAATATAGATTGGCCTCCGCTGGGCTGCTTTTTTTCTGGTCTCACCCAGGGTAACTCATGGTGACAAGAGCAGTGGCTCTTCATGGGACTAACAAGGGCCGCCACTCACCAAGTTGCCCCAACTCCACAGGGTACTGTCTAAAAGCTAAAAAGTTGTGCTCATTCTGGCAGCACATATACTAAGAGCTAAAAGGTGAGTTGGGCCTGTAATGAGCCATTTCATTAAACTGTCTGCTTCCGCGTGGTGAAGTATATGATGCGACCACGGATTCTCATGGTCCTGTGCAGCTCCTTTGTAGCATAGCAACACGGTCTGTTGGTTTTAAGTGACACTGTATGGGATACCATGTCAATGGATAACCATTTCATAAACGCGTTAGCGGTGGCAGCGCTGCTGGAGGAACTATGGATAGGAAAGGCAGGCTCGTAACTAGAGTGTGAATCAGTCCTGAAAAGAATGAATTGCTGTCCCATAGTCACACACACCCCGTGTGGAATCGATCCAAAGTAATTATTTGCCCAAGTGGCTGGCTGGTCTCCTTGAGAAATGGTGCCATGCTGTGGCTCAGTGCTGGTTTCCACAGGTGGTGGGTGGGGCCCGGAGCAGCTAAATGAGCCTTAGCGAGAGAGGGAATCCTTGTTGGACCTGAAAGGTGAGCCTGGGTTCCACTGGCAAGAACGCTTCTCCTAGAGCAAGCCTGTGAGGAGCCTTGTTGGCGATGCACTATTTGGACTGCTTGCTGCCAGGCAGTCTGGATTTGGGGGACCGGCTGTTTATAAGAATTCTCTGGGACCTTGAGGTTGATGGGGTGTTCCAGTCCTCCTGTGTGAAGAGGTCCCAGGGGAAGCTAAGCTTGAGTGCTGCCTATCCCTCGGCGAGAAGGGCAGATCTCTGGGTCCAGTGAGCTTTTTGCCTGCAAACTAGCCTCATATTTTGTCAGAATCACTTTCACACAAGCGTACTCTTTGTACTAAACTATTCTGTTTAGATTATGTGAATGTTCACTTCTGTGTGGACCCCTTGATTGACTTTTACGTTGTGATTTGGTGGTTCTCAAGGGGG